GACGTCATTATGGGAAAAAACTAGTAAATTGTGATAGGACCGTTGTAAACAAATCTAAGTAAGTATATTTTTGTTTTACTTGAAATAACAAACAACCTGATTGGTCATCTGGATGGAAAATGGCAACCTTCAACTAAGGATAAATACAGCATAGAATAAATCATTTTATTATATTATATATATATATATATATATATATATATATATATATATATATATATATATATATATATATATATATATATATATATATATATATATATATATATATATATATATATATATTATATATATTGCACAATAAAACTTTACTAACTAAAGTGGCGAGCTTAATGCTATATTGCATTCTCTACCAGCTAACCATTGGGTGAAAACAGAAAGCGTATGAAGGGCAGATGTGGTGAAAAATATGTGACATAATTATAGCAACATACTGAAATAATTATACATAATAATACATAAGAAATACACATATAACACATAAATACTACTTATAATATATATAGTTATTCTAATATATATATATATATATATATATATATATATATATATATATATATATATATATACATACATAAAAACTGGTAAATATTATGAGATATAGTAACTATTAACCAGATTTGTACAAAAGTAATATACATAAAATTTTACTGTGGATTAAAGTTTAATTAAATAAATAAAAAATAGATTATGATAAATGTACAATGGAGGGCTAATAATGAAATTAATTCTTCTAGAAATAAATTCTTATAGACAGCTATAACAGAATTTTGACTTTTATTTTACTGTTACTAGGTTTTTTTTATGCAACTTAGAATGGCAAATAAACTGACGGCCCACCTGATGGAAAGTGGCAACCGTCGCCTACAGACATGAGAAGTACCATGGACATAACAGAGTATACTGTTTCGCCCATGAGAGCTTCCATACGTTGTCATTCGCGAAGACTCAGGTGTTATTCCTGTGTACCCTGTAAATCCACTGTCATATTCTACATGTCAAACCGAAATATAGCCATGCAAACACAACTGCTTTATGGTAGAATGCTCAATATCTTATAAAAAATTTAAACGAGATATTACAAGCAACTAGTTTAAATAGTTCCAATTGAACAAGGATGTTGTTAGAATGAAGTACAACTCTGAAACTAGGATCTGAAACGGGATAGGTAGCCTACAGGAATCACGTAAGGATCCAACCGCAATGTCTGCCGTTAAAGTTTTATAGCTCTATTACTGTTTTATAACACGGAATATCGAGAAAACAGAGAGCGGCCATAAAATGTTGCTTCTTATCCAATATATAAATGTATCGCTATTTTGAAGTATTCAATGCAATAATAAATTTATAAATATTTAATGACGGTTCTTCTTAAAACAAATTTTGCACTAAAAAACTTTTTTTTATTAAAGCAGTTAGACTTTTGGTAATATTTTAAAAGGGTACATCCCTCGACCATAATATACTCTTTGTTATTTATTATATGCATGTAATTTATATATGCATATATTTATATGGGCCCCGAGGCCATGAATCTTTTCAAAGAGATTTCACGCCGGCTGGTGGAAACCTCTGGTGACCAGAAGGCTGGCCTTTACTTTGGTCAACCCATTTCCATTGCTATTCAGCGTGGAAATGCAGCAAGTATCCTAGGCACCCTACTAGCTGGCAGTGATCTCAAAGAAATTTTATATATATATATATATATATATATATATATATATATATATATATATATATATATATATTAGTTTTTTAATTAATTATCTCTAATTATATATATAGGCTAGTAGTTGTATTGTTCTATGTTTATTTTAAAAAGAATAATATTCAAATATATAAACTAACAATAAGTTAAACAAATCAATTTATATGTATGTATTATTTATTATTATCTATTTTTAGTTTATTTTTTTTAAAGCAGGGAGCAAACGAGCATGCGGCTAACCTGTTAATTGACTGCCTATCCCCATGAGCACTTACGGCATCAAAAAAGAAAATACAGTCCAATTAATTTCATTTTTTTTTTAATAGAAAACGCAGTTACCCAAATAGGCTACAGCTCTAGATGTCACTTAGAGACTCATGTCTCACATAAAATCTCAAGTAATCGTGTCGCTCATTAATTAATAAAGGTAGAACACTACAAAGCACAACTAATTTCTCTAATTAAGTTGACTTGGGTACATGTGGAAAATTCGGCTAGTTTTTGTGGTCGCAATCCGACGGGTTGACCTTTGTCAAGCCGAAATTGTACGGGTGGAGCGACTACGTAATACATAATGCATGGTGTTACAATTGGCTATTTAATTTTAGGGTTGGGGAAAAAAACGGTGAAAAAGGCAACTTCTTGAGCGTGGAAACTTTTTAATAATGAACGGAAATTGAAGGATATCGGATTGTTTGAATCGTGATGGTAGCATTTTCTCAATACATTTTCAAAGTTAGAATTTTCGATACAATAACACTGCTTACTTAAACAGTATTTAACAAGAAGATATTAAGTGATTAAATGTTATTTTAATACAGTGTTTATTTGTTTGTAATTTTAAGTACCATATTTATAGAATGCTAGCTGACTCGGTAAACGTTGTTTTATCATATATATTATTTCTAAAACCATGCATGAAAATATATCGTACTACATATATTATATTCTATTATCATCTTGCAACCCTATTTATTAAACAATAGGAGTTAAGCGTAAAAACGTTAAAATTTGAATTTGTATGTATTTTTCTATGCTAAATCATAATAAAATAAAAATAAAAATATTTGTCAAAAAATAAAAAAAAATTTGGGGGTTGGTCACCCTTATCATTGAGGGGTACGAAAAATAGATGTTGGCCGATTCTCAGAACTACCCAATATGCACACAAAATTTCATAAAAATCAGTAAAGCCGTTTTGGAGGAGTTTGGTAACAAACACCGCGACACGAGAATTTTATATAAGATTATAATGAAATTTATTATTTTAAACAATTTTTATTATTGTAGCTTTACAAAATACATATAACAATTACACGATTTAATAATACATCAGCCAATGGTTTGCACAGACAAAGGAACAGACATGAAAAGAATCACTATTACTGAAAATTCAAGCATTAAAACAAACACCAAAGAGTGATAATAAAATTAATTTATATATATTCTTTATTGCACTTGTAAATTACATGTAATATAATGCATTTATATAATAAATGTTGTGATCAAGTGTGGACTTATCTCTGACAGAGATCTCTTCCAGTCAACCCAATACAGTGAAAAAGCATATCGTTAGCGGGCCGCTGAAGTGCTACAACTATTAATATTTAGAATACATAAACAAATATACAGTTAAATAAAATATTAAAATATATAAATAAAATATTACATAAATACATATACTATAAATAAATATAATACATACCTACTTATATAATAAATGTAAAAATAAATGAATATACTACCTACATTAGAAATTTAGTTTAATGATTTTAAGATTTGACAGTTCAATTAGAAAAATTAATAAATTATAACTCAAGGAAAAGAAAATGTGATTTCAACGTCTTGAAAGAACCTTACCTTATTACAGATAAAATATATCACCAAAATTACCAATCATCGTCATCATATCAGCCTTTAAATGTCCACTACTGAACATAAGCCTGCCACGCTTGGCAAGCGGATTGGCAACCGCAGTTTGGAGATGTTTTAATTGGGATACTACTGCCCATTTCTCGCCCTCCCATATTAGCCTCTTACGATACCCACTGGTAAGGAAGGAGTGGATCTTTCTATGCCGGATCACCCGGCCATGATTACCAAAATTTCAATTAAACCAGTCAATATGGTATTATGTTTAATATATAATAATTAACATAATGATTGTTATGCTTGAGTAGTATATATTTCTATAACATATACTATATATATGGAAGTGTGTTTGCTTGTCCATCTGTTTATATGTCCACCCAACTAAAGTACAAAAGGCGGTCTTATCGCTAAAGCAATTTGTTCCAAACAACCTTTGGGTAGAGAAGAAAAGAAAACACGATAGCTATTTAGCGCAAGAAGTATAACACTATAAATATAATTTAATCGACCAAATATCCAATAAGCAATAATGTAACTAGATCACATTAAACTAGGAGAATTATATTGTACTCTCAAAAGGAGAAAAGAAAGAAGATACGAAGCATTTTTACAAAAGAATAAGGAAACGCATAAACATCGTCCATCGCACCGGATCAATAGAGGGCAAGCGTTTCGCAGAGTAAAAAAAAAAAACGCTGAAAGAAAACCTTTCCCGTCAGGATTCATTAGCGAGCGTGTGGAGTTTATTTATTTAATTCAATTGATTCTACAAAGAGCTTTCAAAGGAATGGTGCTATGGTATGGCAGGAACAGATGTTTGAAAGCTCGCGCACGTTACGGGAAAATGTGGGTCTTGGCATTACGCTAGTGGAATACTGCGAGTATATAATGAAACTATTTCCACTTTTAAAATCATCACTGATACTTTACTGATGTTATAAATGTTAAAAAAAAAGAATTAGTTTGTTTATACCACTATACCGGATTAACCAAATCACTGACTTTGTATAAAAGTCGTTTGCTTGGGCACCTCTGTCCTATTCGTGTTTCTACCGTGAAGCCGTTGATTTGCATGGCTGTGTTTCACTTTCAAAAGTGGGATATGGCAGTGAATTTACATGATACAGAGAAATAACACCTGAGTTCTCAGGAATGGCAACGCATGGGAAGTATCATGGGCGTAACAATATACTCTGTTATGTCCATGGTGCTGCTCATGTTTATAGGCGACGGTTACCACTTTCCATTAGGTGGGCCGTCAACTTGTTTGCCATTCTAAGTTGTGTAAAAAACACACGAAGTTTGAGATTCGAACTCGTGATCTTTGCAGTCTACAAATCTGACTACACCACCATAACACCATGGCATAAAGCACCATAACAGTAACGCGTTACTGTCATATTTTAAATCAAATACTCACATTATAAAGATTCACTGCTGCTGTTCCTGTAACAAAAAAGGATTTATTTATTGAAAAAAAAAAACAATATAATATTATTATAATAGTAGGTGATTTACATAAATACCATTTTCTCTCTCGCAACGAAACTCATATTACGGTTTGTGAATTATTAAATTTATTCCGACTGCGAAAAATGGCGCCGTAATGTTTTCTACGCGACTGCGCCAAAAAATGGGGTTTGAATTTTACAAGTCTATTGTATTATAATAATGTATATAAAGTTGCTGCGTGGTCCCGGCATAGAATAGGCTACCCTATCCTTTCTCATGAGTGTCGTAAGAGGCGACGAAGGTAGAGCGAGGGATGAGCAGCAGCTCTTAAAACATCTCCAAAGCCTAACTACGGTTGCCAACCGCCTGCCAAGCGTGGCAACTACTGGCGAAATCTACATTTGTTACTAATTCTCCTAATTGCATAGACTTTAGAACTAACCTTACCAGCAAATTTTTGTATATAATTAATTAATTAATCAATTCGGCCATGATAAGTGCTGAGAGGAATGGATTGTAATTTTTTTTTAATAAATAATATGTTGTAATAATAGTTATTAAATCAATTTATAATTTTTTTTTATACAACTTAGAATGGCAAACAAGCTGACGGCCCACCTGATGGAAAGTGGTAACCGTCGCCTATAGACATGAGCAGCACCATGGACATAACAGAGTATATTGTTTCGCCTATGATACCCCCCATGCGTTGCCATTCCTGAGGACTCAGGTGTTATTCCTCTGTACCTACCTCTGTAAATTCCACCCGTTCACCTGTAATACACTTTTTTCATACTCAAAAGTTATAAAATTTGACAATAAATATACGTTTAACTTTTACCAACGTGGCTTTCGTAAAGTTAATAGTAATTAAAGATTATATTTCACGAAACATCGTATTTTGAACGTGAAGAAGACAACAACTAGCGGGTAAGCCCTATCAGTTGCAAAAAGACTCATTAAAATCTGTTCACAATTTACGAAGATATCGCATTACATACAAACAATGGCAGAGCCTTCTTCTTTTAGAAATCAGTTTAAAAATATACAAAAATATATATATATATATATATATATATATATATATATATATATATATAAAATTCTATCTACATTCAAATGGAATATATTTCAAAATATAAAAGACGTTCACAGATGCCAAGTTTTAGTTCGCAGCTTACTATTGTTTACTCCTTGTTTTATTTACAAAGACAATAGTAATTTACATAAGTAGGGATATTTTTCGCGGAACGAATCTCTTATTACGCTTCGTGAATTATTAATTTTATTCCGACTGCTAAAAACGTGGCTGTACTGTTTAAATTTTATTCCTTTCCCTCAAAAAGTTTGATAAATAAAAGTGTGGGGAGCGACACTCTTGGGTCGTTAGAGGGAGATTGCTAAACATCTTTTTTTTTTGTATGTTAATATTATCTGTGATATAAAACGGAAAATTTATGTGCATAATTATAAGTATATATATATATAATGACAAATTGGACATAATTACGACGAGTTATTTCCATGTAAGAATGCATTGTCAGTGTTTTATTATATCAGGATGTCGTAAAAGGAAATTAGAAGGATCAAATGTAATACAATGGACCAAGTGAAGGAAACTATACTCGTATATAATTTTATACTAAGCCGCCTGATCAACGATGTAATACTAGGCTGTATCCTTCTATTATGTACAGAAATCCATGCCAAGAAGTAGGATGTTAATGGGATATTGGTTGGGAAGGGGATTTTACCCTATCAGGTTGACTTCAACCGAACTAACCCCATGAACTGACCCCTTCACTTACAATGAAATATGAATCCCGTTATTGTATACCATTGTATAGACGGGTGTATCCTTCAGCCATTAAAAGAAATAAGTTCTAGGTTAAGACTACCATTAGGTAGTTTTCATTATTATTTACGTAATATTTTCTAATCTTATGGCGAAAAAACAAACATACATATATTTCACCTCCATAATTTAAAGCTTGAGTGGTTGCTTATAACGCAATTTCAGAGATACTTCTGTCCTCGAACGCTGAAGTTATAAAATAATCTCTTAGTTGAGGTTTCCCCAAAAGACTACAGCATGGGGTTTTTTAAAAATGGTGTAAAGAGGTTTCTTTTGGATTGGCAATGCGCACGTAATACCCTTGGTTTTGCAGGCGTTCATAGACTATGGTAACCACTTATCATCAGGTGGGCCATATACTTATTTGCTACCTCAGTGTCATAAAAAAATATACATCAGGCATATCTCACTGGAGTAGATAGAAACAATGGTACGACAAATGTTTTGACTCAAATAAACCGCTTTTTCCGATCCACATTCATCAGAAGTTATGAGTTTAATTTGCCCAAAAGGACCAAATTAAAAGTATTCTAAGTGTATCCAATGTCGCTAAAGTGGGATACAATTATTATAAATGTAAGAGTTTATTATCTCCACCTTTCCGTGGATATAGTGAGAGCGACTAAAAGGTGGCCCGTTCTTGGCACACACTTGGCAATGTTTGATCATAAATATTCTACATATGAGACTGCTCGCGCGCTATCATCCGAATGCCTTCATTTATCTGGTGACCTCATCACCAGCCAATGAAACACACGCGGCGTACATAAATGTTTTCTACATAAATCTGCAGCCGGGGCACTCTTTCTCGCAATAATGGTGGCCCGATCCGACATTTTGACACGAGAGCGCGTCGCGAAAGAATGATTTATAAGGGATCGCGTATATTCGAAGTGAAATAAAAATCATTTACGCTGCTATGAAGCCTTTGGCGAGTTAAAGTCGATGGAAGCGGCCGGTAATTTGGGGGAAAAGTAACCAATTTTCCGGAAAATCCGTGATTATCAACTAAGTCGTTTTATAACGCACTTTCTTTTTTAAATTACCGGTGAGGAAAATAGGCAGAGAAATAGAATATTAAGATTAATTGTATATTTTTCACTGACTTTCAGAAACGAGGAGCTCCTTGAGATCTCATAACTCCGTAATTTCTTAACCGATTTGGAAAATTATTTTTTTATTTGAAAGTATAAACCTTCAGATTGGTTTCAGAGAAATTTTCTTAAAATTGATTCAGTTTTTAAATGACTTAGATTTTAATACCTGTATAAAATATTTTTAACTATATAATAAAATTAAATATATAAAATTATTTGCTTTTATAATGGACTATTAATTTCCATATAAGAATGGTTTTATCATCAAATAAATTTAATTAATAATTAGTTATATTTATGATTTTTAAATTAAAATCACTGTTTTTACCACGACTGAAGTAATTGAGACAAAATCTTAAATTGTATAGTAATATATTATTCGACTATTCACGAAAAAATTCGTGTATAGTCCACTTGTGTCACTGCATCATAAAGATTATGCATGTGTTTCTTTCAAAATGAGAAATACTATGGGCCACATAGTGTTTTCTATAAAACACATAATTAAATTTATGTTTATAAGGGATGATTATCACCAGATGAACCCTCAGCTCGTTTACCATTCGAAAAAATAACAACTTGAGATTGCCTTATCAGACATTGCCGGAATTAAATTTGCAATGCTTCTGTAGAAATTGTAATCGCCAGAGAGTCGGATCCTTTTCTGTTTTATTCCACTTGTTTAAATATTTATACTTTAAACATGTTTCTTTTCTAAAATATTGCCAATTGTCCCACCTCTTTTGTAATAAATTCTCAAACATATCCAGTATATACTGGCGTATATATTTCGTGGGAACTGAACAAACTTATTGCTTGCTTTCGTTGCGAAAAATCACCCGAGGTCATTCGTTTTTTGGGCAATATCAGCTCTGTTGTTGGATTCGTTTTATTTTTCCACTATTTTCCCCCTATCTTGTCGTATTTTCGACGTACAGTGTGTTTTTTTTTTTCAACAGCAATAGCTTTCAAAAATACGAGTACAGGCATATGCTCCAGTTTTGGGAAATTTATTGTCTGTTTTACTGTAGAAATAATTACGATGCGAATAATGTCGCCTGACCTATTTAAAATTAAAATATTCTTGTATCAGTAACTGAAAATAAACAATGGATAGTTTAATTCTTCCTGTACTGCTGCCATTTTTAACCTGCATAAGAAGATGGTTCTTAATTCTGCTGCTGTATTTTTTTTTCAAGTGTATGTGCGTGATATTGTATTTTTTTATGCAACTTAAAATGCCAAATAAGTTGACGGCCCACCTGATGAAAAGTGGTAACCGTCGCCTATAGACATGAGCGGTACCATGGACATAACAGAGTATACTGTTTCGCCCATGATATTCCCTATGCGCTGCCATTCCTGAGGACTCAGGTGTTATTGCTCTGTACCCAGTAAATTTACTGCCATATCCCACTCTGGAAATCAAAACACAGCCATGCAAACACAACTGATTCACGGTAGAAACACAATTGGTATAGAGCTGCCCAAGCAAACGTCTTTTGTACAAAGTTTCCCACTGGTATTTTTGCTAACTTTTTTTTTATACAACTTAGAATGGCAATCAAGCTGACGGCTACCTGATGGAAAGTGGTAACCGTCACCTATAGAATAGACATAAATTTTATTTCATATTAATAATTATATATTTATACTCATCTTTTTTGATTTAATCAAAAATAGATTTCACTTTAGCAAATTTGCTGAAATGTAACTTAATGTCACATTACATCACGGCCAATTCGTGTCGGCGACAATCGCTGTTGCGCCTCATTAAGCTAAAAGCCTGCAATATGACAGTGCTAAACGATCGACGACACCTGATTAACCCTTAGTTAATGCAACTAGATTATGTATATTATGTTCTAGTAATGTAAATCGACGCAGTAAAGGTAAAATGCATAATACGTCTTTTCATAATAATATCCGATTTGGTTCTGCATATTTTAAAGAGTTCCCATAGATTCCTATTAATATTAAGAATTTTTGAAATACATTAATAACTAACAAGATATTTTATATATATATATATATATATATAT